ATCATCTGTTCATTCGTGGAATCGATTTTATAGCGCCATCCATGGATGTGGTTTTATGCAACAATTCACATAGCCATAGCCATGAAACGGTGTATCTATCGGAGTGGTTAGAGGGCCCCTAAAATATATAGTTGGCTCAATTCCATTCCGTACTCTGGCGCTAATCACGCTCTCCATCTCCGAGTTGATTCCGACTTGCTTTATAGGATATGAATAGTGGAGTGATACAATGGGAGGTCCCTGCCGGTCTCGGCATAATTCAAATATGCATTCATCTCTATCTCTATATAGCTATCTCTAAGATTTTATGGACGGTGTGGTATACACGGCGCATCCTGGAGTAGCTAATCAAAGCCACTCTATTGCTGAGGTATTTGCAAAATTCTGGACCGCAGGTGTCTGCGGTGGAGAACGAACGCGTTATTGCCCGTTCCGGGTAGTAACACGTTCACCACCACACCATGTGTGGGTCCTTTGTTCCGCCTGTCTCTCAGCTAATTCTATCGATCAGTGCGGTCAGCAATCACCCGTCAACGGATTGATCTGGGGAGAACATTGGCATTGAACGCAGTTAAGCTGAGGCTGTAGTTGAATTCAGAATGTTTGCTTTTTATTTTCTGCCTTCTGTAATATTTATGAAAGGTTGTATTCCAAATAATACTTGATACTTGGTACTTGAACGACCCGTCTTCACTAGGTGTGCGGGCTCCAGCATAATCATCATTTTTTGGAGATTAACTGCTTAAGCCATTTTGGCTGTTTGGAATCTCCAGGACGCTGATCAATCCCTGAGGGGTGCGCCATGCATCAGACTTCATTAAGCATCGTTTGGAGGTTACTGAATGCATATCTGGCCTTTACAGTGACTCGCAGTGGCCTATCAATGTACCGAGCCAGTGTTGCTATCCTCCCAGACAAGACTGGTACCAATTTGCCGACCCCGGAGGGTTGGAAGGCTTGGTGGGCCATGGGTGCTAAGATCGATTCCACGTGTGTGCCGCAGTGGAGCCTCCAACCACTACGCCACATGCTCTTCTATCAAATATCAAAATAAATATCAAATAATGAGGTATCAGCAATCATTGTAAAATCCGGAAACAAAAGTAAGTGAAAGGAGAATAAACGGTGCTACAGCGGCCTTTTACAAGGTAGAAATCAGTATCACTACAACTCGATGTTTTTCTTCAATAAGCAGACATGAGGTTGTTATTATAGGATTTATCAGGATACAATGGCCGACGTTTCGGCGGTTTCGCCTTCTTCAGAGCCTGGAAGGGTCAAATTGAGATGCGATCTACCCAGCCAAACACTTTCATAACCCTGGCAGATAAAACTTAAATAAATTTGTATTCGCATAAGAAACAGCTTCATTTAAACACCTACCGTTTATATGTTGTAAGTATTTAAGTTAGTTGATGGATAGCACAGAGTAATACATGGTCGATAACTGGGTCCATGTCAGGTCATTGGATTAGCCCAAGGTATGGCACCAGGTCACGCGTGATGACAAGACACTCCTCCTTGCGGTTCATTTTTGAATTTCCGGAATTGATCCAAAACGCTTCAAGAGTTTTGCGCGCTGATGGTTTCGATTCCTGCGTGAGGATAGTGACTCCTACTCCTATCTTCTCCGTTGTGTTCCTGCATCCTATGTGCGCCTAGTGGAGTGTTTGGTTTTAATTTAGATTTACCGACTAGGTGTTCTTTTATGCGGACGCAGAGCGGTCAACCGTTTCGCCAACCGCACGCTTTATAAGAGATCAGATAGACTGTACCCGAACTCATGCAATCGTCGTCTCTGTCATCAGGGCAAATTGTGCAGTTTTTCGTAGGACACAGGCAGTTGCGAACTAGCTGGCGTCTTAGAGTGTCCTATGGTGTTTCTATCACTCTTACGGAATTCTTTAGACCAGCCCTTATTAAGCAACGCTTTATAGCTGCACTTATTTCGTTTGAAATAAAGGGCAACAGGAACGGAGCCTTGTTTTCGCTAAAATTATCTCTCTGGGGAGTGGTTTTTCCTTTACGCCTATGCTGAGAAACTACAGTTTCGTAACCATTTGGAATGGCTATTTGGCGCGCCATTTTCGAGGGTTCTTCCCTCTGATCTCTACCTGTGCACACGCTGGCAACAATTCGAAACATATTTCTTATAAGCGTCCTCTCAGTGTGTGAGGGATGAGAGGAGAGGTAATGAAGCACTATATTCTCACTGCTTAGTTTTCGATACCATTTTGTGTTGTAGCCGTTTTCGGATAGGTTGATTTGAACGTTTAGAAATGGAAGCCAGTTTTTCGGTTTTTCACGGGTGGATTTTATGTACTCTAACTGTTCGTTCAATAACTCAAAGCATTTGTCCATTTCCTCTTGTGTGGAGCAGATGACAAAACAATTATCTATATACCTACAGTAGAGTAACGGCCTAAGGTCAATACTGATGCTTTAGACATAATGGCAACCACTTTAGACATAAAGGCAACGGCAAGGGTTAGTGCCATCGCTGTCCCATTGCCAACCCTCTAATTTGTGGGTAATATTTCCCGGACCATCTGAAGATCGAGCAGTTTAAACAGACCTTTAGGAGGACCATAGCTGCTGAATCGAAAAACCATACATCTTAATTGCTCCTTCGTGTTGCTCAAGAAGCTCGCGGATGGCTTGCATTACGGAGTCGTTCGACACAGTGTAAAGGGCGGTAACGTCGAACGATTCCATAACGTACGCTCTTTTGGGACGTGCGTTGCGCAGACGGTCTAGGAACATTTGGGTGTTCGTGAGATGGGCTGGTATGTGCTTAAGCAACTGGTTGAGGATAAGATTTATAAACCAAGCAATTCTATCCGTAGGTCCGTCTACACAACTGATGATGGGTCTAACTTTAAAGGTAGAAGGGTCGGTAGACGCCAGATCATCAGCGGATATTAACTTATGGGTCTTGATAAGTGAGTATAAGACGGGACATGTCGGCACTTCGATCTTAAGATGCGAAATTTCCGCTGGTTTTAAACCTGCTGCGCTTGCCATTTTGACCCATTCGTTGTTCAGTTTTCGATTTTGACTCCTGACTCCTTTTAAGTAGATGCGCGATAAAGAGATGCGTCTTCAACATGCTTTTCCTTTATATCGACATCTAACTGGCGAGGAATTACTACAAACTCTCCACCTTACCACTAACTGATAGCCTAATAGTCTTTGATCTTATTAGCTCTCGAACCTGTGGCATGCCAAATTTTTGTGCAGCTGTATGATTCGAACTAAACTTTTTCGCGCGATAGAAATTTTATATCGACTTCGTCGTTTGGGTCTTGCAGTCTTATTTGTTAAGTTTTATCTGCTAGGGTTATGAAAGTGTTTTGGCTGGGTAGGTCGCATTTCAATTTGACCTTTCCAGGCTCTGAGGAAAGCGAAACGGCCGAAACGTCAGCTATTGTATCCTAATAAATCCTATAATAACAACCTCGTGTCTGCCTATTGAAGAAAAACATCGAATTATCAATCAATGCCGAGGTTAAAAGAAAGTCGGTCGTGGGAATTGCTACGTGAAGTGTCAGTATCACTATAGTTAAACATGGTGATAGATGTAGCGCAGCGGTTAGACATATCATGAAATAAACACATGGTCGTTGGTTTGATTCCTTGCTGCTGCTCTCACGATTACTCGTGAAGACGGGCCATTCGGGAATTTATAGTTTCTAGCAAATGTTCTCGATGGTACACCACACCTTTGTTTGCTGAGTTTTCCATATGGTTTATCTTTAGATCGCTTTTGCTAATCTTTCTTCACGTCTAGATCAGCATCCATTTTAAATTTATGGCTTTCTAGGCCGGGTTTTCATAGATCTAGTAAGTTAATATCACTGATTGAGATGTGTTCGATAGAATTCCACCGTTTTGGGGATCATCTAGGAAAATCATCTCGACGCTCATCATAACGGAAGGAAAATGGAACATCTCGATGCGCTGTAAGGTCGTATGCCATGAAATTTTATCTGCACATATACAAATACAATGTCGACCACGTAAATTACTTAGAGATGGACATGGTAACTATTACACGACCACAAACTCTTCGAACACACACGAACAGCATCTGAGGAATCCGACAAAGGTGTGGAAATGAAAATAATTGAAAGCGACAGTCAGCTGTTAAACGCTTCAGTTTATCGTGTGAAAAACAACCGTAAAGGAATAATAAACACGAGTGGAGACAAACAGACCGTTCAGAACAACAACGTAGTAAAGTGGTTTCTTCGTAGGAACTCACTAGAAAGCGTCATGAGACAAGTCTGAATTCGCTGCTGGTTGGCTACTTCTAGATATTTACAAGATTTAGTTTACAGTCTTCTTTTTCTTTAGTAAAAATATCCAATACTCATATAGCTTGATATTAGTTTCCACAATGCAAAATATGTTTACAGTCATTTTACGTCTCGCAAATATGTTTGCGCTATCATTTGGAGACCGGACTGTGCAAAAAAATGGCGTATTATTTGATGAATGTAGCAAAGCTCTAAAGGGAAAGATAACATATCTAGCAGACAACAGTGGCTGCATGTTCCATTGCGCAACTTTTCGAGTTTCTGAAGACGTTTGAGAGATCCTTAGATCTACCGTACCATATATAAGGCAGGTGAAAATATCTTATGAAACTAGTGTGAGTTTCTAACATTCATAGAAAGATTTCTCCTAATAAGCAAACAGAATTCCAAGCCCTAAACAGTTTGTCAGCATTCAAAGTTTTGTAGAAAAAAAGGGTCAGCAAGGAGTTGACGTCGTGGTGTCGATCGATACGCATTAATTGCGTAATACGTTCGTTCAACACGAAGTTGTGAGTTCTTCTGTGTTTACTTCGTCATGCCGACGACATTGTCATTGTGCCAAGTTCTCCAATATATAGCGCGTTTTCCATTGATTAAAATATAAGTAATTTCATGTAAATACAACTTGAAACAACTTGAAACTTGAAGAACATCAATGACTGGTTAATGTGAGCTCATCGATTATTCAGGTGGGTGTACAGGATGCCATTTTGTAACAGTGGTGCCGCTTCCCTGTAGAAAAAAAATCACTTTGGTTTTTTCGAAACTTTTACTTGAACCAGCTAAGCCATTCAAGTCTGTCTTCCTGTTTTTAACACCTTACTTCATTTATTTGGTTGAAATATGTCTTTAAATCGCCTAACACACATGAAGAGCGCCGCGTTATTCGCCTAAATTTTCCAAAGCACGGGTTAGCTATATTGTTGGTCCTTTCTCGACACCCGAATAATATATGGATCTGATCTATCGTGCTAAGCCTTCGAAACACTGCTTAGAACTGCAACCACCTTAGCTTTTTGTGCTGCTGACATTTGCAGCTATGCTCTATGAGTAATGAATGGGTCGGTACACCACCCAGTTTAATCTTTTTCCAAGATCCACTTTATTAAACAGAATAGTAGTTTCCAACTCACCTGTATCATCTGTTGCCAGTGTTCTTGTGCGTCGGGAGAGCTTGAATTCAGTCCCATCGCCAACCACCCCAGCATTTGTCGTCGCCTCAACACACCCACTGGGCTCCACACCTCAATTCGTACCGTACAGACATCCAGATCTGTACGATGTAACTGCAAAAGGTCTTTTTAGAAAGTTACAAGTATAATATAACCCAAGGATTTCAGAATCAGCTACAGACGTTGTTGTTTTGTGAGTTCGTATTATATTTATTCCATTAAAGGTAAATGGATCTAAATAAAATATTCATTGTAGAAAAGTGTCGGTCCGATTTTTTGCGACTGCACAGGGATTTGATTAGTACAAATGATGAGATAGGTATTTCATAAATAGTTTCTATCATCCAATGCTTCAGAGTGCGGATAGCATAGTGGTAGTGATGTCCGTAATCACGAGCACGGTGCTAGTTCGACTCTGCTCTAGGTCTACCAAGCCTCTCATCCCTCCGGGGATGGGAAATTGGTATCCGTCTTGTCGGGGAAAAAATCGCTCTCTGCAATCCAATTGGGAACGCTCCAGCCCGGCTATCTTAGGACTCCAGGAAGAATCGATCAGACCAGCATTCTACGACACTCAAGATGAAATGAAAATCCTCAAGCAACAATCGAAGCCACACGTAAAAACTTTAAAGATCTTCCTGGACGATGGAAGCGAGGAAACGAAGCAAATGTGGGAAGTGATGGGACACGCACAGTAGACGGGTCAAATAAAGTAAAAATAAGACAAAAAAACATGCTTCTAAAATTATGCTGTGGCGAAGCCCGATTAACTACCCATAACTATCACGATGTTTCAATTTTATCTGTTTTCTATTATTGTTTCATAGCAGGCCATTATGTGACATACGACCATAATTATTCTGAGATGTGAACAAAACTCGGAATCTCAACTGAGCGTCCAATCCGCGATTACTGAGATAGGTATTTCACCATCGAAGCCATTGCTTTGCCTTTCCATCGGTCAGTTTATCTGTGGCTAATTTTTTAACAAAAATGTTAAAGTATTTGATTCCCATATGAAAAGTATTGTATTCTTCTTGTCCATTGAACAAGCGATGGAGCAGTGAGTAATTCTTGGTGACGACAGAAATAATGAAAATTTTAACGGTACCCATTCAAGCTGCTTTACTTCCAGATTTTTAAGTTTTTACATTCCAGGCAGTGCAATTTATGAAAAAAATAGTTAATGCAACCTGCCTGTACAGTGGCGGAATAGTTATAATGTGGCTCCGAGCTTCCTTTAACCAGTTCTGTTTTCTGACGCCATAATTCATTACCGAACTCACCGACGGCAACGATTTTAATGAATGTGTCTGAAAAATAAAAATCAATAATTAGAAAGAAATCTGAACCAATTTGGAAGCAAAAGTTTAAAAAACGACATGTAAATGACTAGGAAAGATCACAACAAATTGACTTAGTGTAAACTAATGAGCAGATCTTCCTTTAAAAAGAAAAGAAAACAAAGGACATCTTTTGTCCAGATGTATAGCGATTCTGGATAGTGTCCTGTTCCTTTTATTACTCCTATTTTCACAGATTTTTAAACCTCCAGCGCCATCTCTTTTATTTTAATCACTGAGGAAAAAAGCAACCCTATAACAAATAGTGCGGGAATCCTCTAGCCAGACTATCTCAGGACTCCAGTGGGAATCGACTTGAGCAGCACTGAAATACATACATGACGGAGGGAAAATCGTCGAACATCAGCCGAACCCACACGCGAAAAGCTGGAAGAAGATCGTGGATGACGGGTCAGAGAAAACGAAGAGAACTTGAGAAGTGCCAGGAGCAGATGTGAAAGACGGGTTGCATAAGATAAAACAAAAATAAAAAATGAAAAACAGGTAATATAGTCACTGTTTCTCATATTCTACATTAATTCGCTGTTTACAACTAAATGGCTCGCACTAGAAACCATTAAATATATCTGTGGATACGAATAAACATATATTGCAAAAATGAGTAACAAAAATAACCAGCTGGTCTGGACATTTCGCCAAGCGACGACCCCCTTTCGATTCCTATCGTAAGACATCCGTGATCTGCGTCATAACAGAGTCCGATCAGCAACTGAAATGACAACTATTGATTTTTTTAACCATAATTATCAAACACCCCAAAAACATTTCACTTATTACCTCTGGCATTAATCGTAAGCCCAAATACAGATAGTCTCATAGTCTCACCGACAGTTAATTAAAACAAATATTTGATGAATTATGAGCAAAACCGCTATTTAGATTAGTTCTACTGTCACGGAATTTTATGATGTAGAATGTAGCACAGTGGTAAGAGGTGGCCTGCAATACTAAGGTCGTTTTTGGTCCAATCCGTCTTTCAGAACTAACCATGCCGCTTTTCTCACCGGTACTGACAAATTAGTGCTAGACCTTGCTGGGAGAATAGGAACACAGACTTGGCACATCGGTCAGTAGGTCATCGATAGACATTCTATGGGACAAATATACATTCAGCCTTTCCTATGAAGCTTGAGGACGTCGAGCATGGGACATCTCTGAAGAATTTACCGACCAAGGCCGAATGCTTCGTCTTCGATAATTTACAGCACTTTTAAAATTGGCACAAAACCAAAAGTTAAAAGCAATCGATCCTATGGCCTGACTCGCGTTCTACGAGCCAATTTTTTTCTCTGAGAAGCTGAGTAATTAAAGGATAGCTAAAAGCAATCTAACTCATTTCAAGATAAGCCAATGATGATTTCTGCCTAGTACTTTTGCCGCGTGAAATTTAATTCCTTTCCGTTACTTATATTATGTATAGACTTAGTTAAAAACCAAACTTCATTTTTTCCGAGAATCCTAAGAAAAATGATACATTCTTTGCAAAGTCTTCTGACTGTGGTAATATTATCTCCATAGGCCGTAGAATATAACGGTACTATTGGTCAGATATTTGAGACGCGTACGGTTTGTAGTAATAATATTTATGATTGCTTGATAGCAAACAGATACGAAATCTTTCTAAACGACAGCATGAGGTTTGGAGCATGTGGCCCAGTGATTACAAGAGTCCTGCGATGCACGTAGTTATCGGTTCCATCCGTGCCCTGAGCAAACCAAGTCCTCCGTTCTTTTGTTTTGGAAAAATTGATACCTAGAGCAGGACTATAAAACCGCAGATCCGAATACCGAAAACCTCGGAAAGTCGTCGCATTGTTGAAATATATATTTGACCACCTCTAAGAACTTTAATGAAGTTGAATGCGTGGTGCATTTCGGCGTGATTGATCAACGACGGATGCTTCTTCCTTTTAGTGTGATCGAAATGAAATAATCGAATAGAATAGAGGAAAAAGGGACTATCTACCTATATATTTATTAATATTACTACTATTATTGTTCTTCGCAGCAGATTATTATCTAAATTTGTCGTTCCTCACCTCCGGTGCGCCGTTAGTCGGTTGGCTACAAAATCGTCCAGACGAGTCGACCATACTGTTGCGACGACTGTCACCCGATGCGACACTACCGTTTGACACTCGATGCATCGACGGTGAAAGGTTGACCTACGACGTAAAAATCGAAATAATCGCTACACTACAGTAATGTAAATACTGCTGGTTTACTGTTGTATATAGTAGTAATAGATGTATAAAGAGATTTATAGTGAATTAGATTGTTCATACTGTGATAAGACGTGGTTCCTGGATATGAGAAAAATATCGTTGAAGGATATCAGGCAACAACCAGGCAAGTGCTTGAACCTGCTCTACACGTCCACTGTTGAACATCAAATGGATTTGCTCTTTGTTTTGATTGGGCTATTTAGAACAAGAAGTGGTGAATGAAATTAGTAGAATAGTTCCTGTTGTCGTTGCGAAGGTAAGGGTTAAAAATTCCTTGGTGGAATAGGATATTTGAATTGGTGTCAAGAAAAAAACTGTGTGCAAGTATTGGAAGAACAAACATGGGCGTATATAAAGCTACAATTTTTTTCGATTCGAAATAAAAAGTTTGTAAAAAAACTGAAAAAAAGTTATCATAAAGAAGCGGAAGGAATCAAAGAATGCAAAATTATGATAAAGTCTGTATAGATGTACACAGTTGCACGGACTTTTTAACAAAGAGGATAAATTTATGGCCAAGAGACTACGTTGGGGACAAACACCGCAGCCTTAGGCTATGCGAAAAAGTAGGAGCACATTTGAACGCTAAAATGGTAAAAAGAAATAACTGGCTAATTATGGTAGAACAGTCTGAAGTTCTCAGAAGAAGGTGCACAGCAGATGGGCAAAATTGACAAAGTGGTAGAGGTGACGCCTATTAGCACGCTCATGGTCACTGGTTAAATCCCACGTGGGGCCAACTAGGCAAACCTTGCCCTTGTTAAGAAATTAGTACCAGGATTGTCTGGAAAGCCCTCTTGACGATCCGCAAGGCCCAACTTTGATGACGACCCGCGAATGCTGTATTAGAGCCACTCTAGGATTCAAGCGAGAATCACCTCGACCACTATTCAACGACATTTAAGAAGAACACGAAACTCTTAGCTGGCAGGCACACTTGTGGGAAAATCTGAAGGCATTCCTGGATGACGGATACAAAACAACGATCTGAGCGAAGAAAGTGCTGAAATCCAGACAATATGTGCTGTTGGAGCCATGTTGAAATGAACGTTGTGAAAAGGACACAAATTCCATAAAACCAGACCTTTCTCAGAATCAGGGTAGCAATTTGACGTTTTTCTTCAATTTTCATGATTATGTAATTCAAATTTTTCATAAAGGCAGGTTCTGAAGCCCAAAGTCAAGAAATAGGAACATTTAGTGCTACAGAGTCCCCATGCATAATTAGGCGCATTCAACCGGTTTCAAAGCTTCTCAGAAAGTAAACAAGATGAAAACGAAGAAAATACTAGGCAGAATTCACTATCATGTCTTTAAAATTAAGCCTCAAGGATAGCCATTAACTGAAAACAGCAACGTAGCTTTAAACACCCAAGAAGAAAGCCAAATTATCAGCTTCAACCTGGCGCTTTCACGGCTCTTTTAGATGAATGCTGAATAATAAAAAATTTCGAGCACACAATATGATTCCTCATTGTCTACGGACATATAGAATCCTTCCAATCTTTCTCTCCATTATCATCTAGACGTGATTGGGATAGTTCTAGGAAGATATGATATGAAGTCAGAAACTTATCCACATTGATTGTGTTAAACTAATTGAAAAAAAAGCTTGAAATTTCCATTAGGAAGCTCGGCTGAGGTAGTAAGCCTATGCCAGGAAAAACCACTGTCTTAACCGAATCAAAGGGTGGCGAAGCTCATTTCGGTCCAAATGGACCACCCACCCTCGGTTACCAGTGGAAATCGAATAAAGAAAATTTGCAAAATCAAAGCAACAACTGTGAAAAAACGTCTCCAAATTGTACTAATCTTTGTGAGTGTGTCAGCTATCTGTAGAGGACCTCTCATTTACCAGCTGTGCTCGAATTGCGCAATTTTTGAAATATGTGCATGAAATTTATGAATAGTTAAAGAGGCACCGACTACTGAGTGGCAAATTGCGTTGTTGTATGAAGTCGGCGAAGGCGGCTGACATGCTGTGACATTGAAAACCAAAAGGGAATAAATGTGTGGTGAACTTGTGACTGTATCAAAATTTTCTAGAACATTCCGGAATTTCATGCAAGGACAACAAGAGGAGAAAGAATGCTTCTAAACAAATCGTGACGCTACTTAAAATTTCAGATGATGTAATATTTCAATAACTGAAGGAAAAATGCTGTTGTGCTGAAAAAGGCTTCCAAACTAGAATGAGAAAACTAAACAGGTCAATGCCAGCAATTTCGTCGCTTAAATTGTGAAATACTGGAGGGAGTAGAGCAGTGGTTACCAGTAGTTGATCAGGAAGCAAGCTGCAGGTTCCACCTCCGCCCCATCATTGTCCTCCAACCCAGGTGGGAATGCCTTAGCTCGGTTATATCCAAGATCGCAATGAGGACCAACCCGACCATTAATCTAGGAGATTTGTAAGGATGACGAAGTCCTCAACCAGCAGCCGAAGAAACGCGCAGAATGTTCGAAGATCTTTGTGGAAGATGAGTGTGAGAAAAACGAGTCGAATGCAAGAAGTGCTGGGATCCGCACAGTGGATGTGATGAGGAGCCGTGTAGAAAAAAAGCTCTAGGATTATAAACACAGAAAATAGAGGAAGAAAGTGAAAGCCTTTACTGGTAGTGAGTGCCAACAGTGTTTTTTCTGCTAGTGATAAGTGTGGAGAGTTTGTAGTAATTCCTAGGTAGTTAGGTGTTGAAATATCGGGAAGCATCTTTAAGATACTTCCCTTTATCGGCCATAACCTGAAAGCGAATCTAAAAGTCAATAATAAAGATTGAACCACGAGTGGATTAAAGCAGCAAAAGCGGCTGGTTGAAAGCCAGCGGTTACCTCTCATTAGATAATTGAATTACCAACATGTTTCCTATTATATTTACTTATAAAAGATAACGACTTGGTATCCACTGATGATCTTTCGTCTACTGATAAAACATTATTAAAGGTTATACCCCTCATTAGCTACGTAGTCAGATTAACGGATAGAATAACGTGGTTTCTAACCCTAATACTTACTCAGTTGTTGAACCATGATCCAGCCTATCTTACAAACACCCAGATGTCTCAGGATCGTCAACGTAACACGTGTCCCAACAGCGCTTACGTGATGGAGTCTTTCGACGTTGCCGTCTTCTATACAAACGCGTCGAATGACTGCAACGCAAGCCATTCTCGAACCCCTGATGCAACACGTAGGAGCAAAAGACATGTGTGGTTTCTCCATTCAGCAGCTGATGATGACCCTCTTAAAAGAGTGCCAAAACTATTCGATCTTTACGTGGTTCGGGAAGTATTACGCATAAATGAAAGGGTTAGTAATGGTGTTGGCAATGGCACAACGACGGGCACCAGCTTTGCCACGGAATTTATCTCTATAACCAAAGTTTCAATAATCGAGCTCCGGCTATTACTTTAATAAAGACACGTAGATGATTGTTTTGTCATCCCCTCCACACAATTGGAGATGGATAAATGCTTCGTGATACTAAATGAACAATGTTTAACGTTTTGTTTTCTGCCTTCTATAATTTTCATGGCAGGTTACTAAGTAAGCGAAATACAACCACAACGTTGCTGAGATATTTGCAAAACTCTGGACCGCAGGTGTCTATGGTGGGGAACGAACGCGCTATTGTCCTTTCCGGGGAGTAACGCGTTCACCACCACACCATGCGGGTCCTTTGTTTCGCACGTCTCTCAGCTATTTCTATCGATCTTTTTGCCACAGCAATCACCCGTCAGCGGGGTTGATCTGGGGAGCGCAAATCGGCATAGAACCCAGTTAAGCTATGGCTGTAGTTGAAATCACAATGTTTAACGTTTTGTTTTCTGCCTTCTATAATTTTCATGGCAGGTTACTAAGTAAGCGAAATACAACCACAACGTTGCTGAGATATTTGCAAAACTCTGGACCGCAGGTGTCTATGGTGGGG